ACCATTAACTATTAAATCAATAAGAAAACTCAGAAATGAAGAACATAAGATGGTTAATTATGAACAGAATTCACCATACGAAGTAGAGGTAGAAGAAGAAATTGTATATGAAAATGGAGTTTCTCATTCATTTTGGTTTTTTGCCAATGCAGATTACGAAAGTATTAAACCTGCTATGTGGATTCCAGACACACCTATAATGTATTACTTTCTTAGCAATTTGGGAAAAAAGGTTGAAATACCTTTATTAAACAAATGTTTTATAAATAAACACACAGTCTACTCAATTAAAGGTACTAAAAGCCTTTTACAAATTATCAATGAAGGAAAATCTAATCCCGACTTAGTGATAAAAGCGCAAAAAATAGAAAATGAATGATAATTTTATGGTAACTGGAAAATATTTTAAAATATATTACTGGCATTCATTTGTATTATTAAGATTAATTTTAAATAAAAAAGATTTTCGATCAATTTAATGACTGAAATAAATTTCAACGCGACGCTGATTCCTTTAATTTCCTGATAACATAAATAATCTCTTGAGAGATCGTAAAATATACCTATCCAAATAATTTATTTGTTTTTTTTTCACAATTTTAAATTTATAGCTTTTATTATGTATAACGGGCATCTGAAATGATTTTATTATCATAAAATGTACAGTATTTTAATTTTATGCATTTAACGAATATGTTTTTCGCAGTATACACAGTACTATATCAGGTATTCATAATAAGTCTTGAAATAATTTTGTCCATTCTATCATATAAAATTACCTGAATATAAATCTAGAATTTAAAGGTAAGATTACATCTCGAGGAAATATTCATATCCAACTTTTAGTAATTTGGATTGAAGAAATTAACTATGCCGAATGTGCTTGATAAATGTGAAGCTTTCATCATTAACGACTGCGTGGCATTGACAAGCGTGTTTAGAGATGTTTATTCGAGCAAAAGGGAATTTAATCTTGTGATATACCTAATATTTAGAATGACGAAGTTATAACAATAACAAGGGTGTTGGAAGAATTTCAACTTAATGCTACAGAATACGAAAATATGATCAAATGGATTCCTTTTGATATATTAGATAATATATAAAGGACTAATTTATAAATTTTAGCAATCTGGTTGGATGACATACACTATATAAACAAATAAAGTCAAACCTCCATAGGTGACCCCTTTGGAACATAGGAAAAATTTTCAAAAATATGCATTTAGAGAGGGTGTGTATTTATGGAAGGCATTTTGTTGAGTCTTATATGCTTGCGACTGCATATCAGTGTGCACTTAGAGTGGGTATATATAGTGCGTGCATTTATGGA